TATACAAGTAAAAAATTTTGTCCATGCTCAAATTCATCTTATTACATATTTTCATCCACATTAATAAATATTTCAATTTAAAAAAAAAAATACCAGTTACAGGATTTGGTAAAAAAATCCAGCAATTAGGGATATTGTACTTGCTTCATGTGCTTACATAGATGACAGAGGTGTGTCTAAGGTCAAAATATAAATCACATTTGATTTCAATATACAGTGTATACAGTGTTCTCACCAGACGTGAGACATGAAAAATTTGCCTCATGGTTTAATTTTTTGTCCCAGGTTTTTTACTCTCATGAGATAAATTGTTTCACAAAAATGTAAGAAAATACAAGTGTAGAATAAAATTCCAATATTATAGTAAACATTTGAGTACAGTGGTCTTCACTATAAGGGGAACAACATACTGCTTTTCAGTCTTTAGTTCCACATGGATGGGTAATTGTCTCACACTTTCTAAACTGATGGAATAATTACACCCCACGTATTCAATTCCTGGTGAACAACACTGCATTATACAATAAATGCGACTTCTAGTTACATATATGAATTTGAATTCTTTTTAAATCAATTTTTACATTTCATGTACTTTTATTATTTACTTTATTAATCTGAAAACCTAAAAGGAAATGTTAACTCTTTCTTTAAGGTATTAATAAAGCATTATTCTATTCTATTCTATTCTATACGTGCAGTTCCATAAGAGAAGTGCTACAGTATACAAAATCATATGTTGTCATCGTATTTTTTGAGTTATGACATCATCATTTATTTTTATACAAGTACGTCTTTATGGATTTTTTTCATACTGTAAAATACTTTATTTTTGCTTGGAATTAATTTTCGCTATTTTTGCTGAAGGAATGATTCAGTGAAAATAACATCCACCGAATATAACTTTTTTCCTATATTTTACATTCAACTTGTCAAAAATCAGTGAAAATAAATTCCACACAAAACACCCAAAAAGTCTTTTCAGCGAAAATTTATTCCAACTAAAATAAAGTATTTTAAAGTACACAGTATATCTATGTACAAATCACTAAATTCAGTTTATGATTACTTACATATGGTTTTGTAGGTTCCTGCACTGAAGAGTATGGTATTGTATCAGAAGATTGTTGTATTGGTGGTACTAGTGGTAAATCATCATCTATATAGCATAGCAAAGATGGTAGAAATACTAAACAACTTGCTGGGTCTACACCACACCTACAAATAACAATATTGTGGGGTTTAATATTACATGATGGCTGAACTGGTCATCTGCTCATGTTGTTTTTAAATGCAGGTCTCGCCAACAGCCATTTTGAAGTCTGCATCATGGAAAAATTTCACAGTAGCATGAAAGATGCATGAGCTGCATTTTTTTATATTTATTAATCCATGCAATAATACTTAAAGTCAAAATTACTTTAAAATTGTGATACGAATTAAGTAGATGCAATTAGCTGCAAAATTCATTTAAACACATGAAATTATTATGAACAAATAAACCTTTAGTTGTTTCACACTAAATTTTTCAGGTATGAACAAATAATTAAAGCTTTAGTTAATTCACACTAAATTATTCAGGTAGGAAACACTGAAGCTTTGATCAGTTTACAATTGTTAGAAATTAGTTATGTTATGTTTCAGTATGACAGGTACGTCAATATGTCAAATTGTGATAAGAAGAATTGTGATAAATGTGACTTAAGGAAAAAATATGCACTGAAAAGGGTTGCTGAATAAACAGTCTGGATGTTTTTTATACAATCTGATGAAATTACATGATGTAGCATATGAACTCACCATTCTGGTGGAATATTCTCAGTCAAGTAAGGAGCTAACATAGATATTCCTTTCGGTATATCTTTCCTTTTCTGGTTGCATTTTACTTCTTCTGTAGGAATCACAACTGCATCTTTCTTATCTACAAGTTTGTATGGGAATTCCAGCCCTTTCTCATCTTCCACACTTCTAGATTTCTCCTTAGGTACTACATGTGTTTCCAGTTCTAATGTTTTTGTTTTTAAAGGTTCCTTTGATACACCACTATCAAGCCTAGCTTTGGCAGATGTTGGTCTTTTTCTAAGACTGATCAAAGAGGTAGTTTCTTTCACCTTTGCAGACTGTGGTCTTCTTACACCATTAGAATGTCCAGGTTGATGAATCACATTAAAATTTATATTCCGATTGTTCTGAACTCGTGCATTTGATGGTTTATCATTGTGCTCAAGCCGTGCTTTGGCGCTCTGCGGCCTTTTCTTTCTTTGATTGTCATGTGAATTTGAAGACGCAGATATCTGCCTTGAAACAGGTTCAAACAATAAATGTTTTGATGAAGTTGATGGCACTTCAGTAGATCCCTCACGATTCCAGAAAATCTTTTTTTTATTTACACCAACTGCATGTAATTCCGCATTTGTCTGTTGCTGCTGGCTACGGGTTAAAATCCTTTGTCTTTGATACTGTACATAATCTGTATTGAGTTCTGGTAATGAACTTGATGTTTTAACACTACCCAGTGATGCTTTTGCACTCAACGGTCTTGTTCTATGTGGATATTTTACAGCCTGAGAGGCACATGGATCAAATAAAAGATGTTGAGAACTAGTGATATTTGGCTCTCTAGCATGATGATGTATGGCAGGGTTTATACTGAAATGAACTCGTCCTGATGGTGGCTTTTGTAGGACAGCTGAAAAACAATGGATGAAATTAAAGATATTATAGATTTATGTTGTTTATTTTCTAGAATTGGTTTTGTGACAGTGTTCTTGAAAATATTGAACATGCATGCGCATTATCTGAATCACACAAATAAAAAAACAAATTACAGAAAGTCTCACAAGTACTGGGCAGAAATTTCAGAAACTTGCTCACTAATTCACTGAAAACTTTGGTTTTGATAAAACATATTTAACCATCGCAAAAAATAATTCATTTTTACTGGATGAAAGAACCACCTGTAGATTCAGAAAATTGTTGAAAAAATGTTCCTAGTTAAGTCAATACTAATTTATGAAATTTTTTTTACCAAATACTGCAATTTTACTTGTCCTGAAAATGTACACAAACTCAGAATCAAAATCTCAAACACTGTTATAATATATGAATAAAATTACGAAAGCAGGTTTAGTGTATCCACATTCCGGTTTGGGTTCTGATTTCAAGGATTACTACCTGTATAGTAACGGCTGAATGCTGATGAGCTCACACGATTTGCAGATCTTATGGATATAAGAACAAAAATATCCATATACATCATCATTTTGAATATTACACTGGAAAGTAATTATTTTTAACAATATTTCACACTATGAACGATACCAAAACCCTTGCAATATATAGACCCCTAATCACCAAACTCTAATTTTTCCTGAATAACTGTATAAATCTAAAGTATTGACAATTAAAAACTGCATTCCCAAGACTATTATACACTGATGCTATCCATATTATCAATTCATTCATATTTAAAAATATTTTATATTTAAAAACATTCTATATATGCATTTTGCTGATTTGATAATTATGAATTTTGTGATTTGTTCTTTATTAGCCATTCATTAGAAAATTTATACTCTCTACGATTTGTTTACAACTTACCAAATTGTTATTGTTGTACTATAGACACAACAAACCCATTCTTTTGATTGAATGCAATCAACACGCAATAAAATCATTCATTAAGGCCAGTATATTTCCTAATAGTTTGAAAACAGTGCTCTTCTAGTCAATGGGCGATGCAATTTTATTTGGTTGTTTCACAAATTATGCGAATCGAGACAGCGCATTTATGATAAAGCATCTTCAGAATATTGAGGTGGGATATTGTTCAATGATAAGGCAACTGTTTTCTAGCAAGAGACTGAAAATAGTTCAACTTTGAATAGTATTGAGCATTATTTTGATCAGTGGTGACACACAAATCGTGTATGGCTCTATCTTGAATTTCACTGAACTTGCTCGTGAACTAATAACCCAACTTCTGCAGTTCACACGCTTCAACGTTCTATGGTAAAATTACTTACCAGGCATTGCCTGCTACATGTTGTTATTATTATACAATTGTGTGATTTATAAATGCATGTATTTAAAAAAAATCACAGTCCCTCAGTTGTTGACACAGGCGATCGGAACGTTTCTTGGATAAAAAAAAATGACCGAAATGTAGTTTCGAAAATCGCGTTATATTCGGGAAATTTCGATGTCATGGTGTCAACGCTTTCCTACCTTGTGTTATATGAGTGGTAGGCGAATGTACCGGCGACTGATTAACTATGCCGACCCTACTTAACTTTAGGTCATTTTTTATTATCCAAGAAACGTTCCGAGCGCCTGTGGTTGAGGGGCTGTGTAAAATCGAAGGGTATGTTACTAGTGCAAAAATACTGGCGCTAGCAACGTACAAAAAGTAGTACGCGCGGTGGTGAGATAAATTTTGTAACAATGTTTTGTCAAAATAAATGTGCTTAATCTAGAATGGGAGAAGAGTACCGGCCCACGATACTGACAGTTGTCTATCAGCTGTAACTTCATCGGTCATTGACACCTTCACTCCAGGTGCAGTCGGCCGTCACAACAAACTGTCAACAAACACGCAGACGAGACGATATTTACACAAATTATGTACAGACATAACTGAAAGGTCTACTACAAAATAGCATACTTAAATTCAAATAAACTTGGGAATATGAAATTTACAACATATGTTAAGACAGATCATACAACTATTAAATAACATTACCCCGTTTGTCCCGAAATGGCATTTGTGAGTCGGCCATCTTCAATTAAATAATGTCACGTGATAAGGCGTCTCATATTATTTTCTTGATTTCGCGCTTGAGTTTGTCGAGATACATTACGAAAATCATGTCCAAACGATTCTTTGTTGCATTACCAATACATAACAGTCTAATTATGATATATAGCAGAAAAATAATATTATTCGCGTTTCTATTAGATTAATTAAATCTCGTTTATTTTCACGCAGGTTGCGAGACTTCTCAGTCCAATATGGCAGCCTCCTGAGTTTATGAATCGTACATTCGTCACGGTTATTGAAATTAATTGGAATTTGCAATAAGGATTGAACTGAAACTATGTCGAAAAGTATCGTAAGTATACGCATCGAGGTGTTTTAGAGTACAATGTTTATAAATTGTTTGATGTGTTCTAACGTACTTCGTTTGTGGGAAGTTGAAGTTGACGATCGGCGTTCATCACATCATCATGACACTGACAAAATTGTCTCGCAAAAAAAAGATTGTTTACATTTTGAACTTCATTCATTGAACACTAGACGCATCTTGTTACAATGAGTTTAGTTTCATTATATCGAGGATTTTTGCTTTTCGTTAGTAAGATTGTCAAATTTATTTTTTAAAAATAGTACCCGTATAATGTGGATTCCATACATTACAAGCTAGTCATATGGTACTTCAGTTATTTAGTGTCAAATATGAACACAATTGTTGGTCTAACCATGTTAGCTTTTATTCAATTCTAATCATATTGTAACTATACCAATCAGTGTACTATACCGTATACGTATACAGTGTTTTGTCCTTTTTGTAAATCAAAAAATTGAAATAGAAATTTGAGTGAGTTAGTTTGGACTTCATCAATGCATGGCAGATTTACACATTTGTGATTTGCTAATAATGAGGAAGAGTTTGATAGTTGTCCTCCCTTTTTTGTCGGTTAGGGATTTTTAGAAGGACTCTAGATGGCATGTAGTGCACTTTATCTACAATTTGGTGAGCAAGCGCAGCCAAGAAGTTTTTTGATTTAGTAAAAATAGAACTGATGTAATCATATTATAGAAAGTTGAAGCGTGTGAACTGTCATTTATTTATGTGTGCTCCAAAAGCATATCTGAGTGTACGTTCTGAGGGCATGCTGCTACCAGTTTCATCAACAGTGACTTGTCGATCGAAGAGCAATGTAAAAAACTTTTGGGACTTTTAATCACATACGCATGCATACGGTTCCCTACATTTTAAATCGTTTTTTTTGAGTAAGTTCCAACATTGACAAAGCTCGGAAATTTTAACACTATTTAGCCAAGACTGTCTAGGTAAGAAAAACTTTAAAAGCAAAAACAAAATTCTGAGTTCCTGCAAGTATACCTTAAAAAAAACTATTACTGTGGAATACTTTATTTTCGCTGGATTTAATTTTCGCTGAAAAAGCTTTTTGGGCATTTTGCTTGGAATTTATTTTCACTGATTTTGGATGAGTTTAATGTGAAATATAGGAAGAAAAATATATTCGCTGGATTTTATTTTCACGGAATTATCCCTTCAGCGAAAATAGCGAAAATTTAATCCAAGCGAAAATAAAGTATTCTACAGTATTTACACTGCATCTTTTTTTATTTTGTCATATTAGATTATACGTATTCAATGTCCAGATGGACAGAAAAGAATAAACCTTCTATCAAATGACACTGCTACAGAGCTGCTAAAGAAGGTAGGTGTAATTTTGTTTGTATTTGTGATTCCTGGTACGCCAGGGGTCGAAATACTCTGGTGCACACTGCACTATGCACATAGATTATTAGCTAGTGCAAGTAAACTCAAAATATAATGTGCACGCTGTGCATGTAGAAATTAACACATTTTCTCATTATATTCATTATATTCCTAAATTAAGTTCAACCAACATTGTAAGACAACTAAAAAATCAATCATCAATCGATAAACCGTAAATGTTATTTAAACTTTAAAAGTGGTGCATTTCACAACAAGTTTGTGCAGGTAAATTTCAAATTCAACATGCACACTGTGCATGCAGGGAAAAAATTCTATTTCAATCCCTGTTAACGCTTTCACTTACTTGTTCATTGGTAATGAGACTCTATTTGTTGTCAATGTTCTATGGTGCACTCAACGTATAAAATTCTATTTAGTTTTGAAAGAAGAAGTCCTGATGAGAAAAAGAAGAAGAAATGAAAATATATTCTATGGAACCTGTTCTTGTTCCAAAATAGGGTCAATTAATACATTTCTTGTTTCATTGTCTAAGTTTGTGTTAACAATAATAACTGGTACATTGTTTTTCAAATGCTTTGTGCTGTTTATTTATTATAGGTTTCAAAAGTGATATCACTTTCCACTTCCGATTATAGTCTTTATCGCACTAGAGACAAAACTGGTGAAATCAACAGTTCAAGGAAGTCACTATCTGCACTTAAAATCCAGTAAGTATAGAAGCCTGGACATCCGCTAAGGATAAAATATTTTTGCCATGATGTCACTTTGCAAAAAAATTTTGTGTAGATTCATGTAGCACATGCAATATACTATTAATACAGTATGATGATGTCATGACAGTATGATAACATGTATAAAGGATGTTTTTTTTTATGATAATTCACCTCACCCATTGGTGGCAAAATGACATAATTTGTTGTAGCCAATTCTATGGGTAGCATTGAGGCTTACCTTCTTACAATTTGCTTTTGTTCAAATTCTGTATAAAACACTGATTGATACAATTTCTCAACACATTGAGAACTTTTTTACGCAGCGAAGTTGGACAAAAAAATGACAATTTTTGCTGAAAATCCAAGATGGTAGCCAAATCATGTGACTGATCAAAAAGAATCTATTGCTATATAATTCTAAATGCCAAATATCCAGTTGGTTGGTTGGTTGGTTGGTTGGTTGGTTGGTTGGTTGGTTGGTTGATTGGTTGGTTGGTTGGTTGATTGGTTGGTTGATTGGTTGGTTGGATGGTTGGTTGGTTGGTTGGTTGATTGGTTGGTTGGTTGGTTGGTTGGTTGGTTGATTGGTTGGTTGGTTGGTTGATTGGTTGGTTGGTTGGTTGGTTGATTGGAGCACTCATGAAACAAATGCCTCAAATTTTGGCCGATGCCAAGATGGCAGCTGAACCATGTGACTGATCAACAATGTTGTTTTTTTTAATAAAAAGCTTTGGCCTACAAGGAAAATATCAAGTTGATTGATGAAAGGACACAAGAAACAATTGCCCTTATTGTGGCTATTAAGATTTCTCAAAAACTTGTCAACCACCTGTTTTTCTATTTAGGGCATTTGTATCTCAAGAATGCCTTACTGATCAAAATAACATGTATCAGTGAATACATATTAATTATGGCATATTCGGCCTTCATAATTGGACCCAACTAACTACTCTGCAGAATTATCTTTATCTTTGCTATCCATCAGGCTATGAGAGCTCTTTCAAATAGCAAGCATTTAAAATTTTGAAACCTCACTCACATATCACTTGCTCAAAGCATGACCCACAAGTGCTATCAATTATCACTCCCTCAATCCATAGCATTTTAGTTAGATTTTATTAGCATAGCTTTCCTAATCACTTATGTTCAATAGAGCCATTTTCAGTAAGGACCTGATAATGAAAGTACCGATAACCAGTACATGTAGTATTAAAGCTACTATTTTTTGAATTGTAAATAAATAAATTACTGTCCAGCATCAACCTAATATTACAATGTAGGACTTGACATTGTCAAAATATTATTCAGCTCATGGTGATTATTCTGTATTCTGTCTGTAGTCATGGAGATATGCTGTTCGCTTTTCCACATGCTGGCATGACGGCCAGCAATGACTCTGACGCCATGGATACAAGTGACCAATCAGCTGCCCAGATCACCATACCAAGTGCAAGCAGCGGTCCATCAACAAGCTCAGCTGCATTTGCAAGTGATGAAGTAGTTGAGGACGAGGTTGATCAGTATATTAGTACATTAGATGGTAAAATACAGAGAGACAGAGATGAGCAGTTGTAAGTAAAAATTAAGATGATTGCATATCGCATGTACCGGGTATATTTTTTCAGTTCAAGAAGCACATGTACATATTTAGGGTACAATGTAGCAGTACATTCAATTTACAATTATATGACCTGAGCTGCAGATTTTTACAAGACCTTCAGTGTAATGAATGAAGAGACATTTGATTGCCAATTTGTTGTCATTATTTGTAATCTTTTTATTTACATAAGATGTCGACATGGTCCCAGAGGTAAATGTGTTCACTGTGCGGCATTGGAGGTGAGATATGTTACTTTGCCTGGACAAGTATTTGTTTGTTATTAGCCATCTTAAAGGCCATCTTAAAGGCCATCTTAAAGTTGTTTTGTCGGCAGTATTTTGTTTATGTTGCATATTATATGTACATTGTATTACATGTATGTAAATGCATCCAAAATCTGAATAGTTTCTTCTGATGGAAATAGATCATTTTCCATTCACTGCCAGATCCCACGTTATGTGTGACGTCGAATGTAAAAACAGGACAAACAAAGGTCATAGCGTGTAGTGACGTCCGAACATCACGTGGGATTTGTCAAACAAGGAAGTATTAATTTTGGGGGTATTTCCATGCTTAATAATGTGCTATACACATTTGAAGATGATCAATATTGATGAAGTTATGAACGGAATTTCAACACAATATTGCCCTCTTCAAAGAGCTATAAAAAAGGGAAATTCAAAATCAAATCATTTGATTTTTGCAGCCAACATTCCCAATACACAAGTTCTCACAGTGAATAAAAAATCACCTACATGTACCGGTATTACCGAGCATTTCTATAGATTTTTCAGCATCTTAGGGGCGTTATCGAGTCACTGAATTGTACGCATCATCTTCTTTTAGACAAAGATTTATAGAAGATATTGAAGATTGAAAATTTGTTGATGTAATTGAGGGCAACAAAAACTCCATCATTCACAATGTATATTTTTTTCAGCTTATGTCACCAGATTACAATTTGAGATATGGCATATATATCTCTGCCATAGTATACCTATAATACTGGAAAAATGGCCACTATCCACTGAAATTCAACCATCATTTTCTCGAAAATTGAGCACCAACTTTTTTTTGCCTCAATATCCTTATGTTGCCTGGAAGTACAATTTATTGGAGCATGACTAAATTCTGATTTGTTTTAAGTATAGCTGTTAGGTTGCTTCCTTTTGAATTTATAGGATGATTCTTTGATCATGTTATAGTTCCAGTGCATGCAAGTGAACATTGAATATTATGTGCTTCCTAGGTTAGTTTTGTTCAGCACACACCCAAAGCAAAATTTGAAACATCAATGTATGGCTGAATTACTTATGAGGCAATAAATATCAAAATATTACAAAATATATCAGTATGATTTTGATTACTGTAAAATACCAAGGTACTTTATTTTTGCTGGGAAATAATTTTTGCTATTTTCGCTGAAGGAATGATTCGGTGAAAATAAAATCCAGCGAATATACCTTTTTTTCCTATATTTAACATTCAACTAGTCAAAAATCATTAAAAAAAAAATTCCATACAAATGACAGCATGACATTCCGATAATCATAATGTTGCCAACTCTACAATTTTAAATGGCAATGGTCATCGAGCAGCATTTCATTTCAACATTTCAATTATATGTAGCATAGAAGCCTTTTCGAACTTGACGCTTTGTTACAATGACCACCAACATGTACATGTATAATATCTATACATGTACATATACTTCCCGTAGCTGGGTAAATAACAAAAAGATGATATGGCTCTTGTTTCCTGAAGTAACAATATGACACGTATTTCTATTTTCTGCCAGCCTTTTGATGAAGAATATTTAAAGAAACTTGATCCTCCTATAAAACACATGTCATTCCATGCTTACATTCGAAAACTTACAAGTGGTGTCGATAGGTAAGTGATGATTCTTCAAATCAATAAAACAATACACAGTGTAGATTTGTTATAGGCATGGTTTGATAATGTTGCAGACTTACAGCGACTTACATTGTATTAATCATATTGCATTTGCGTCGTTTGTGCAATTGCATATTTCAAGAATAATGTTGCTTTAGGCTGTTTTTTTTTTTCCCCGAGGATCGTGTAGGTATTGCATGGAATGAAAATAATATCAGGTTATTACGAGGACACCTTAAAGTATGCACGAAAACAGTGCAGCTGAAGTATCGATCGACGCGTAGTGGAAGTCAATGCGCGGCGTACTGTTTGAGTGCATACTCTGAGGTATCCTTGTAATAACCTTATTATTATACATCTTTTCCTTCCAAGGATACACTATTGGAATCCCGAAATCCAAAATGTTTAGAACAGAATCAGCGAACTTATTTGTGTGGAGTTCGGTCAAACTCTGGTGGCAGCCATGTTTTGTATTTTTTTATTAGAAGGCGCTTACACGCGTAATCATTTGGAATTTGCATTTCTTAATATGGTAGGATGAAAATACCCCGTAAAATACAGCAAAATTTTGGCGCACTGTAACTTATGGCGTTACAGTGACAGATGTATAATAATAAAAGTTATGGTCTGTCTGATACAGTTTCCCACTCTCATATATATGCTTTTGTTTCATGATCTGCTGGAAAGAGGATACCTGGTAGAGTTGTGATTCAGTGTTTGTCACCCACTTCATTTCAAATTTGTCATACATCTCTGGTGCACATTATCTTGTAAAATATGTAACAGGTGCTATGTCATTAGCAACATCTTGTGAATGTATGTCATTATATCTTCCGTTTTTATTTCTCAAATAGTGAAAGGCTAAACTTTAAATCACAATAACTGTTTTGTTGTTGGTAGGGGTAAATTCGCAATGTTGGAGAATATAAGTTGTAAAATCAAGTCTGGATGTTCTGGTCATTTACCCTGGCCTGAAGGTATCTGTACAAAGTGTCAACCAAGTGCTGTTACACTTAATAGACAGGTGAGTAAACCAAACTAATTATTCTTAGAGTAATTATTGTCTACCTTTGCAAAAACTTGCTCCACTCTGTGGGTTTTTTTCAATGATTTATAGAATGCATAATTCTCTCCCAAGGCCTTTTATTTACCACTGTGAGTTTTTCATGTTTGACCAAGGAAATTTCATGCTTGGACTTTAAAGAAACAATAGAATTAATTCTTTTATTGAGAACAGTGTGTAATTAGAGAGCCGCTTTTACTCCACCGTTCAAAAAAGTGACTACCGTATATTATAATTTTATTATTATTATAATTATGTCAATTTTTGACTCCCGTGTGCGAAGCACAAAAGGGAGTCTTTGCAGCTACCCTGTCTGTATGTGTGTATGTATGTATGTCACTTTTTTTGTTCCACTGTTATCTCAAGAACCACTAATCAAATTTTGATGAAACTTGGTACATAGATTCTCTGTAATAATGCGCAGAGTTGATTAGGTTTTGGTGAAAATCCATGAATACTAATTACCTAATTTGTATAATAATTAGCTGATTTTTAGCTGTTCCATGACTGTTCCACTGATATCTGAAGAACCACTCATTGGATTTTGATGAAACTTGGCACACGGATGCTCTGAACTAATACTCATATTTGATTAGTTTTGGGTAAAAATCCGTGAATATTAATAACCTAATTTCCATGATAATTAACTGATTTTCAGCTCTTCCATGACTGTTCCACTTATATTTAAAGAACTACTCATTGGATTTTGATGAAACTTGGCACATGGATGCTCTGAACTAATGTGCAGATTTGATTAGTTTTGGGTAAAAATCGATTTATATTAATTACCTAATTTACATAATGATTAATCAATTTTCGGCTTTTCCACTGATATCTCAAGTACTAATCATAACATTTCAATAAAACTTGGTACATAGATGACATATGACACTTCACAGACCTGATAGTTTTTAGGGTAATTTCAGTACATATT